ACTCCCCCAGCAAGACACACACACAGCTGGCATGCTTTGTGGCCATAGCAGGGGCCACCACCTCTGCAGTTTTCAGCCCGCTGCGCCTTAACACACACAGGGCCATCTTTGTCATGAGTTTTGCCTGTCAGCAGCTTGAGGTGCAGTTCCCCCCAAACCCCTGCACCTATCTTCTTGAAACTTGGCAGGCTTTATGCTCTCCACAGAGGCTACCACCCCTGCAAGTTTCACCCAAATCAGAGACAAAACAACAAAGTTATAGATATTTCATTGATTCCCCATTATACCCTATGGCCGGATCTCCGAGGCGGCTCCGAAGCTTCAGAGCTGCTTTGGCCTGATTGAAGTGGCAAACCAATCCAGAGCTCCGGATCGAATCACTGACATCCAAAGCGGCCGGATCTGAATCCAGATCGAATACCTGCCTACTTGCACAGGCCTACTGCTTGGCTCCCCCTGCTTCCATTGGCTCCACCTCCTCCTACTGCACCACTCTGGGCAACAGGTAGTGTGGCAAAGTGAAGGCACGCATGGGGACACTATTCATAGATTCACAGATTTAGAGGCTAGAAGGGACCTCGCAAGATCATTGGGTCCAGCCCCACTGCACTAGGCAGAAAAAACAACTGGGATCAGGTGACCCCAGCAAGATGACCATCCAGTCTTCTCTTGAAGATTTACAGGGTAGGTGATGCCACCACCTCTGGGGGCAGTTTATTCCGCAGTCTGGACACCCTGACTGTGAAGAACTGTTTCCTAGAGTTGAGCCTGAAGCGGTATTCCAGGAGTTTGTTGCCATTACTTCTGGTTTTCCCCAAGGGTGCCCTCGTGAACAGTTGTTCACTGAGCCCTTGACGTATTCCCCTGATGTAGCGGTAAGCTGCTACCAAGTCCCCTCTCAGCCTTCTCTTTTCAAGGCCGAAGAGGCCCAAGTCCCTCAGCCTCTCCTCATATGGTCTGCTTTGCAAATAATCAAATCTGCTGCGAGTCTGCTGGAGCGTGCTAATTAGCACGCTCAAGCAGCCTCTGCATCACATGTATTCAGCATCCCCACATTTCAAAATGGCAGCAGGGTGATTTAACTAAAGCTCATCAAACAAGCTTTAGTTAAATAGCCCCTGCTGCCATTTTGAAGTGCAGGATACTGAATACATACAACTCTGTGGGTGCTTTAATTAGAGTGGCTCTGTGAGCTGCTTTAATTAAAGTGCCAGCCCCCCCCTGCACCCCAGAGCACATGTATAGCTGCGTCACATGCTCAGCCAGGCCAGGGGGAAGCTCCAGCTTGGTGGCTTCTGCCCCATGGGCAGGGCTCCAGCTCCAGCTCCCGGCCGCCTCCCACCCACTTTGCCGGTCCAGCACAATGAACAGCCAGCTGTGGGTGGCCAAGTGGGTGGAAGGCAGCTGGGAGCCCTGTGCACTGGGTCAGGAGGCACCTGGCTGCAGTTTCCCCCCTGTCCAGAGAAGCACAGCAGGAGTAGAAGAAGAAGCCGCCGCTGGAGGCATAAGAAGCAGCAGTAACCAGGTGGCTGTAGCCGCACCAGGAAGAGCCCCGCTGAGAAGCTATACGCACTGGCTGGGGCTATTGCAGGGCACACTGCATGGGCTACCCTAGGCAGGAGCATGTAAGGCTTGGCCCCATGGGGACCACCATGGGGACAGCATGGGCTGGGGTGGCAAGGGAGAGGGTGATCACACCTGCACCACACCACCCAGGTGAGCTCTGCTGCACATGCCCCATCCCTCCCCTCCTTTCCCCCACCCTCAGCTGGCTGCTGGGACTTAACACACTGGTAGCACCCCCACACCCACCCCAAACCTCTCCCCCATACACATGTACTCCCCTCCCCCCACCAACACACGCAATATACTAGCATAAGACTATTTTGAGCTGTTATGCAATTGTCTCTATACACGCTACTCAAACACACATAAATCAGGACAAAAATATTTTTTAAAATAAAATTAAAATATGTTAGAATAGATGTTTGACTTTTAGTATACAATTTGTTTTTTTATCCGTAATTTGTTAAAAATGGTATCTTCTGAAAGATTGTGTCTGTGCAGTCCTCGACAACTAGCCAAAATTAAGTGGCCCACCAGCCAAAATAACTGCCCAACCCTGTTATAAAAGTTCATCTGTTCAAAGTCTAAAGGAAAGTGTCACTGAGTATATTTGAGGATATTCTTGTATTTCTTTGTTGGCCAACTCTTGCTGCCCGTGAGTCAATGCATCCTTCAGGACCTTTTTTTTTTTTTTGAAAGACATATTTTTGGAAATTGAGCGTCAACTCCAGGTTTGGCATTTAAGATCAAAAGAAGGATTATAAATTAAATAAATAATGGCTAGAGTTATTTTGAGAGGCTTGAGTGGTTGCACATTATACAGTAAAAACTAGTTAGGATAGACTGCACACATCTGGGACAATGTTACCTTTACTTGAAGAAGATGCAAGTAAAGGATTGCTGTTGTGGAGCATATGGTGGTGGTCTATCAAGTATTCTTGGGCTAGGGACAGACATTCAGAAAGCTGGAGTCTGAATTGATTCAATCTTTGCAGGTTAGTCTGACCTGCCTAGACTGAACCAATTTGCAAGTGAATAGACATTCACGAAATGCAGGCACATACCTGCAGTGGCTTATGCCAGGAGCCAGGGGCACTAGAGCAGTCCATAGCTGAAGGGAAGCTGGGCTGGGGGTCATGACCAGTCCCAGCCATAGCCTGGAGTTAACTGGCCAGGGAGGGGTTCCCTCCTCCCTGTCCCACCAGCATGGGCCCCAGCCGGTTCCACCGGGTGCTCCTCGCTTGCTGCTGCAGTGGTGGGGCCGGGCACGGCTAAACACCAGCCAACATGGCCGCTAAAGCAGAGGAGGCAGGGATGGGGTTATACCCCCCTCTACCTCCACTGCCCCCCGGAGACCACAGCAGGGTCTACCTGCCCTGACCACTGCCACTCGCTCCTTGCGTGGGGGAAGCAGCAGGATAAGTTCCCTCCTGCCCCCTCCACCAGACACCAGAGGGAGGGGAGAATAACTCCCCTCCCTGCCCCCTCACCTAAGGGGCCCTGCTGGCCCAACCCTGCTGCTGGAGTGGTGAGGGGGCAGGGTTCTGATGGGGAACAGCCCCTTTCCTGGTGACCAGGTAGCATGAGCCTCATCCTGATAGGGGGGCCACAAGCAGGGGTCAGAGCTGTTGTGGATTGCACAGGGCAGGAGGCAGCACCAGGGCTCAAAGGGGGTCATAGCCCCCCAAGTTTCCCTAATGCTGCCGTTTGTCTGTGGCAGCTTTCCCTGCCCCTGCCCGCAGCATGGCCCCCCCCCCCACACACTGTGAAGAGGCTTATGCTCCAGGACACCATGAAAGGGGCTGCAGCCCCAAGCATGGTCACTCCCTCCTCGCTGCTCCAGCTGCAGGGCAGGGCCAGAGGCCAGCCAGTACGGATTCCTTAGGCCTTAATCCCTGCTCTGCTCTGGAGGACCACAGTAGGGGTCTGCTCGCTCCAACTGCTGCTGCCACCACTCACTCCCTGCAAGGAGGGAGCAGCAGAATAAGCCCCCTCCTGCCCCCTTTGCCAGCCGCCAGAGGGAGGGGGAAATAACCCCCATCCCTGCCCCCTGCCTAAGGGGGCCATTCTGGCTGGGCTCTAGCCCACCCCTGCTGCTGGAGCAGTGCGGGGAGCGAGTGACCCTAACAAGGGCAGCAGCCTCTGTCATGGTGTCCCAGAATGCGAAACTCTTCCCGACAGGGGCCCACGCTGCAGGTGGGGGTGGGGCAAGGAAAGCTGCCTCAGATGAGAAGCAGCAGTTGTGCTAGGGGGATTATGGCCCCCTCCAAGCCCTGGTGCCGCCGCTTGCCCCATGCAGTCTGCGGCAGCTTTGACCCCCGCTTGTGGCCCCACCACCAGAAAGAAGCTCATGCTCCCAGACACCAGATCAGGGGCTGCTGTCCCATCAAGGCCCTGGCCTCCTTGTCACTCCTTTGGCAGGGGTCGGAGCACAGCCAGAGGCCAGCTCACAGGTCCCCTTAGGCAAGGGGACAGGGAGGGTGGTTATTCCCTACTCCCTCCAGCATCTGGCAGAAGAGGCAGGAAGGAGCTTATCCCACCGCTTGCCGCCACTGTCTGCAGTCCCCTGGGGCAGAGAGGGAAATAACCACCCTCCCTGCCTCCTCTGCCTCAGGGGCCATGTTGGCAGGCCTCTGGCCATGTCCCAGCCCTGCCACTGCAACGATGGCGGGGAGTGCCCGGTGAACCCCAGCTAGGGTCCATGCCAGTGAGATGGGGATGGAGGGAGGGGGAAATTAAACCTTCTCCCTAGCCAGTTCATTCCAAGCTACTGCTGGGGCTGGCCATGCCCCCGCCACTGGAGCAACCAGCAGAGATGTGCAGGTCTGGGACAGAAGTTACATAAATCAGTTTGAGCTCAATCAGTTAAGTCTGATACTGTATTACATTCAACCAGGTTCATCTCAAACTGGTTTGGGCCATTTTGAAGGCAGTTTATGTGCACTGAATTTCTGTTCTGTTAAAGGTTTAAACAAGTTTCTGATCACTTAAACTAATTTATGTACAACTTCTGTCCCTAGCCTTGGACACTGATGGCTCTCCTAGCTGATGCCTTACTTCGGAAGATCAGATACCAGGAAAGTGGTGTTTGAGGAGGACTTTCTTTCCCCCTTCCCCAAAACACTTGTAGAAGTTGTAAAATTGCATATGGAACATTTTAAATTGCCTTTATAAACCCAAGGCCTTATTCTTCAGTACAGTTGGGACTATGGAAAGGAGCAGAGTAGAGCAGGCAGTGATTATAAAATCATTTTGAAGTTAGTTTCTTAAGAATGAAGAGAAAGAGATATAGTTGTCTATGCATATTTGGATTTCTGAAATCTAAACAGCTGGTCACTGCAGATTTGAAGGTTTTTTCCCTGCAAAATGTTCATTTCAAACTGGGGTGAAGTTTCAAACTCTATTTGTGTCTATCTGCTATGTGAAAATCTTACCTTAGCTTGTATTTCCATCTTTAGAGTTGATCCAACAATAGTTAAGACATCACTAACAATAATCATGATATACCACCCATTGACAAATTCCATTTGATCAGCAAAAGAGACTTCTTTCTTATAATAATGTAGGAAGAAGTGCACTAATTCCTAAAGGGGGAGATGTGAGGAGGAAAAAAAAGAAAGAGAGAGATTACAATCAAACTTTAAAGTTTAAAAGACTAGCAAGTGTTCCTGAGAAAGTTCTGTACCCACCCTTTGGAGCTGAATTCCCTTAGCGACAGATCGAGTGCAGAGAATCAATGAAGCTAAACAAGTCAGTATGACAAAGGCATCAAATATCATCATGTAATGAGTGTTCTTTTGTACTGAGGAGGGAAAAAAAAGCAAGCCAAAACATGTTAAACTCTGTCTAGAGCATGTAGTTAAATCAAATTTAGTTTTCTATAGAACTTCTCAACATTTTCTCCATTAAAGTTTAGAGGGAGATTAGCATATCTCTGGAATTACAGGCATTACTATAACAAGCTACCCAATGCTGCTGCTCAGCTGTGAGTAGCATTTCCCATTTAGAAGCTTTCCTGTATTCACTCACCAAGCATTTCCAAGCTCACAAGCCAAAATAGCCTGCAATATCCTTTTGTATGATCTTTATTACCAATACTACCCTACAGTATAATGCTGGAGTGACTACAATGCCTCACGAGAGCATGAAGTATTTGTTCCTTGTTTTAGAGCTACAAAAATTGAGGCACAACAGGGGTTTTCTGAATAAAAAAAAAAAGTCACAGAAATTCTTCAGTGCATGTGTTCAGTTCCATTTCAATAGCTCAGCTACTAGATAAGCCTTCCCTCCCAGAGCAATGCAGATGGTTGCTTGAACAACTCCACAAAAACAGCCAAGCATTATAAATTATAGTGGGCATGATTTTGGCACCAATTTTGCCTTAAGAAATGCATACTTAGACTCAACTGATTTAAACAAGTCAAATTTTGCATCAGAGCTATATTTGCTACTTAGAGGATTAATTGAATACCTTATATTCTGCAGCTTTTCTATAAACCACATGTCTAAATTAAGAATCAGAACAAATGGTATTAAAATTCCAGTACTAAGAAATCATACTAATTTTACTCATACCTCCCCCCACCTCCCAAAAAAGTAACCTATTAATAATTGGATCTATGTTTGAAGGGCTTCTTGGACAAGGAGCTCTGTATCTGGTTAATCACAATAGTTTTGAAAAGAGACAAACTATTTAGACCTTCAAAACAGGGAACTGAAGATTCAGGTGACCTCACAAGGGTCCTTTCTAGAACAGCCCCAAAATAACTATGTTTTGTATACACAAAAAAAAAAAGAGTACTGCAAATTTTGTACCTTAATCCAAATGGATACAAATTTAGAACCGTTAAGAAATGGCTGGTATAATTTGCCTTCAATTTGAGATCTATTTACAGACTGCCCAGTAGAGTTGTGTCTAAATTATGGTTAGTGTCCATTATAACAACAATTTACATATATGAAAATTTAGGTTATCAACATCACATAGGTGATGTCAATCAACTTTTTGTATATGCACAAGACCTATTTAGAGCTAGCATGCCATCTAGTGTGTAGTTAGAGCTAAGCAAGTAGCAGCCCTCACACAAACCCCTTTAATTTTAGCAGGGTTTTTTGCTCATCCTCCATGGACTTCACTTTACTAGGAAAAGATTGGTATTCCTTTCCCCTTTCTCTCCATCCCTCCATTTTCCCAAAGACTTTAAAATCAAAATAACAAGAGGAAAAAACAAAAACATTCAAATCCTGGATATTATTCAAACCATTCCATTTAATGGCAAGGGAATAAACAAAACAGTATGCTACGGAAAGCTTTGGGTCTCAAACAAGAATATTTACCAACTCTAGTAAATTCTAGTTTTTGAATTAAGTTGCAATAGCACCTCACTGCCACATGCTTAATAACAAGACACAGGAAGTTTACCATATAAGCATTCAATATGCTATTTGCTAAATACCATTAGTGAGTACTATATTATTATTCCACCTTTGGGTCAAGTCACTGATATGTTCCCATACACATTCATACACCATTTTTAAAAATCTTTTAAGAGTATTCCAGCCATTCCAAATTTTAAAATCAAAATTAAGCAAGTCTGCTTCCTCAGTTTTGTTCACTTGTTATAGGAATAAATGATTTTTAAAATTTTCCCTATTTTCCACTAGGAGTATTCAGTTTTGGCACTGGTTGTCTGTTCTCACATTTTAAAACAATGTTTAGTGCCCTAGCATTTTAAATAAAAGGTTAAATGTTGAAAATTAAAGGTTATTTATAAAACCACAGATCTGATTTGAAACCATCACTTTATCGAAAATTCCTCATCTTAGTTGGAAAGGGGACAGAGAGAAAAAAATGAAATACAACTCAGTTCAGAGTCATCTGGAAATGTTTTAACTACTTACTTGATCCAGAAACATGCCAGTCTTTACATTCCCTAATGGCAATATCATTGTCTAGACTTATTTTGATTCTTCCACTGTGAGCTTTATTGTCAAACAGTATCTATTAAAGG